CAATATATAAATATTAGAACATATATACAAACATATAGAATACACATTCAAACCATTTTTCATAAGCCAGATTATTATACATACAATTACGCTGGGGATATATACAAAGTCACACCACACAAGCGATGACACATAAATCCAAGTTTGTATATACAAGAGAAAATTATATATTATACAATCTACAACGCCATAACAGATAAAATTCGTTTTGTAATTTCAGTATTTTCGATATTCTAAACAATTGTATAATATATTGCAATTTAAAATATGAAGTTTCCTTTAATGAAACATTATCTGTCTTTGAATATGTCAAAAAATTGATTAAAATTGATGCTTCAGTAATGCGCAGAAACAAGTTGTATTTGTCTTTCAATCTAGAATTATTTTTTGGAATTTTTTTTTGATTTTGAACATTCACACTTATATTATAGTATTATCTAAATTTATTGTAATCTTATTTAAGGCTATTGTTACTATTCATATAAAAAATTATTTTGTATAAATTATAAAAAAAATTGTTTTATACAAATTTAAAGCTACATAACAAATCAAACTATATTCATATAGTGTAATTATGTAAACTATACCCATTTAATATTATTTCATGAAATAAGTTTGTCATATATAAAAATTTTCCAATAGGTTATGCTTATCTTTTTTTTTTTGGTATATTATTGAATAATAATAATAATACACCAAATAAAGGTCGCATTGAACTTAGTCGGCTGCATTATTATTTAACAACAAACAATTAATGGTGGCCCTAGCTCTTTATTTATTTCCGACGCTGACTACTTGGTGGACCGTACACTACTTGCTGCTTTCGTATTATAAATTATGATAATTAACAAATGAAAATATTTAAAAGATATATTAAAAATTTTGGGTAACTTTTGAAAGTTTATTATTGTTATATAAATTGAAATATATAACAGTAACATGTATTATCTTAAAATAGAGTGAAAAGTACTATAAATTATAATATTTAACAATTATAATTATAAATTTCTTTTATAATTGATTGAATGTTGAAATCTATTTGTGCCACATAATTTATGACAAAAAGAGTAATTTATATTGCTTTAAAAGGTATATAAAATTTAATTAACTCTAGAAATTAAAATCTATTAACAACACGTACGCACGCGCATACACACATACACAATTTTATAAAGTTACTATAAGTCACGATAACTAATAATTTAAAATAAATAAAAGACATAGAAGTATATGATTGACTCTCTGAATTGTATAAGTGACGCATGTATTGTCTAAAAATGACGTAAAAAGTAATATAAATCACAATAATTAACAAATTAAATGTTTAAGTATTTAAAAAAATTGGACGACTTTCGAAATTCTATCAATATCACATAAATTGAAATAGAGAAAACAACAAATGTTATTTAAAAATTATGTTAAAAGAAGTATAAATCATAATAATTAACAACTTAACATCTAAAGATAGGAACTACATAATTAAACATAGTTCACTACCATGTATATTATTACATATACTTTCAAAATATTACGTATCTTACCACTAATTAAGAGTTTTCCCATATATTAAAGAAAATACACTTAAACACTTATATTTTCTTGCGATCAACATAAAAACAGGGAGAAATGTGAACGAGATTGAGGAGGGAGCCGAGAGTGATTCACGTGTATCACAGAGACATGCAAATCCCACTAGATACATGTATATGTTTGTATTTGATGTGATTCGCATGTATCTGAGATACCAGATGTATGAGAGAGGGACGAGGAAGGTGAACGATATTTGTAACATATTCCATATACACAAGAATCGATTTGGATACAATGTATCTAAAATAAATTATCGTACTTAATCTTCACTCGATGTATCCTATGTATATGTATCTGAACGTATCTAGAAATACCAACACCTAGTAAGATACAAAATATTACAAATTAGAGTGTATCTAAATAATCAACTCCTAAACTAATGAAATTTATATAAGTTTTCAATCCAAAATTATAGTGTGTCTATATATATGTGTGTGTGTGTATATATATATATATATATATATATATATATATATATATATATATATATATATATATATATATATATATTTCGTTCGTCCACATAGCAACAAGAGTTATAAAGAAAAAGAGAATGAAACAAACATTTCCTAACAACAAGTGTTTACAAACTCCCAATTTTTCTCTGATAAAGCTTAGTCACACAATTGTGAAAGGATATATACATACATTGAGAGAGACATACAGCCACACGCACACTTAATACTTTTCAGATTTGGGTGATTCTATCATTTTCATTTGAATTGGTCTGGGTCTCCTTTCTTGTTTGTTTGTTTTTTTTTGGGTGGGGTGGGGATTGGTGAGGGTGCGGTAGGAGGAATTTGTTACTGATGTTGAAATATAATTTGTATGATCACGGCATTCGAGGGCAGAGCTAGAAGCCTAGATGCGATTTCAGTCAAACTCAGTAACTTTTAATCAAATAGTATATTCCTTTTAAGAAGTTTATTAGATATGTATCTATATTGAATTTACGGTTCAATTAATGGCATTTGAAAATTATTATTATAAAATTTAAAAATTATAAAGTTAAAATAGTAGATTGACCTTTGATGGTATTAGTACTGAAATTCATAAGCAATTTTCGATATACCTATTTAATTAGATTGCAGACCTTCCTCGATTGGTTGTGTCAACTACTTGTCACTAATGAAAATGACAATTGCTTACCTTATAATTTTCCTCAACTATCAACCAAGATCTAGCAAAGCTTAGGATCCACCTTTTTCTCTTGAAATAAATATCTTTTCAAGTAAAAATTAAAACATTCGTTCTTCTTTTCCGTTTTTGTTTAATTATGTTTTATATCCAAAAATTTATAGCCGACTTATATGAATCTGCATGTAAAATTATTATTTATAAAAATGTGATAAAATAATTGAAATCATTTTTCTCCTTAATACATATATCCATAGTTCTAAATAATTATTTATCTTACCACTAATTAAATTTTTTTTTATCATATATTAAGAAAGATATACTTAAATATGTATTTTTGCTATAAAATGTATTAAAATAGGAAAAAAGACGAGTGAGATATTGTGTATTCAGATACATGTGCATCACACTAAATATACAAGTAATACATGTACATATATGGCGTGATACACATGCATCTAGATTACCAAATACGTAGAAGAGTGGTCAGCGAGATTTGTCTATGGGCCTGTTTGAAAGGACACCTTAATAATTGAATTTGATGTAATTGGTGTAATTACAATGTCTATCCTGTTACCTGATCAGCAAGTAATTGGTGTAATTGGCAGGGGGTAATTACACCATCGATTGTTGGTAATTACATGGTGTAATTACAGTTGATTACTTATTTTATTTTTTTCACTTCTACTATTTTAAGTTCCATTTTTATTTTTAATATTCTAAAAATTTCTAGAAGTTTATTTTTTATTTTATATTATTATATTTTCATTTTCTTCTCGTTCTCAATCTTTCTTCACGGGAATCTATGCAACTTTTTCGTATTATCTATTTTATTATGGCATGTTAATTTTCTTATTAGCATAATTTTATTAGAATTCTAATTTTCAAAATAAATTGAATTTATTGTTGAGAAAGGTTATAGACTTACTTTTTTTTAAAAAAAAATTAATAAATCATATTTATGTATGCTATGTTTTAAATTTGCTATTAGAGTATTATGCTAACTTTTTGTTTTGTATTTATAAATTATGTTATGTTTTTAGTTTCATTTGTTTTAGTAAAAATTGAATTCGCATTGCAAAACATTTTTTAATTAAATTTGATAGATTATATTTTTGTTGAATATTTAATAATTTATGACTTATCATTTATATATTAATATTTTTATCAAATATGCATTTCACGATATTCATGGAAACTTCATACTTTTAGTTTTTTTACGATCAATTCAATTGAAATATATTAATTTAAAAAAATATAAATCAATAATTTTTTCATAAATTAGTTAAGAGTATATGTTTATTAAGTAATATATTTTCAAAAAAGAATATATCTCTTAAAGATTTAATTTAATATTATTTATAAAATTTCTTATTGTATAACATAAATTTTAAATATTATTTTTAAAATTTAATATAATTTTATGATTGTAATTGTGCATCTAAACACAACATGTGTACTTACATTGTGGCATCCAAACAAGACATGTGTAATTATATCGAGACAACTAAATAAATTAGTGTAATTACTAGATTGTGTAATTAGTAGGCTGATAATTACTATCCTAATTATTACACCAATTTCAAATACCAGGTGACTTTCTATTCAAACCCTATGTATCCCAAAATACATGCGAATCTTCTTGAATACAGTATACTGAAACAATTACACCTAACTTAAACCCCACATATCCTGAGATATATGTAACTCGTCGTATATGAACGCACTAAACTTTGTTCATATCCTCTTCTTTTTTAATTTTATTGGAGTTTCAGCTAAATTCATATCACGCCCTATAGGGGTGACATATTGAACTCGAAATGTCTAATTAAGAATAAATCAATTCCATCACTTTAACTCCACATATCCTTTGATATATGTATCTTGTCGTATAGATGCACTCGGTAAGATTCATAATGTTACAAACTAGAGTGTATACAAGTATTTAGTTCCTACACTGGTGGAATTTTTGTGAGTTCCCCATAAAAAACTTATGAGAAGCTATTTAGCTTGTTTCTTTTTTTGATTTATTGGAGTTCAAGCTAAATTCAAACTATAGAAATAACATATTTAAACTTGAGACCTCTAATTAAAAATAAAATAATATAGCTACCCTACCTGGTTGTACTTGTACATATGTTTGTTTGCTAGAAAGTAGAAACTCATTCTTGTAACATATTAAAATAAAATCAATACCCAACAACCAAATATTTAAGAAATAATTAATGTCAACATTAGCAGATGGAAAACATTAGGATTTAAGAGATAAAAAAAAGGTCGTGAACGTAGGCTAGGGTACCAAATGAAGTTTCCAAGTAATGAACAAGTGAAAAATTATAACAAAGGGGCTTTGTCATTAGCTTTTACTCGGTCATCAAACTTTGTCAATCTTTCAATCTCTCTCAAAGACTCAAACCATTTTTCTACGTCACAGTTTTTGTGTATTCAAAATTCTATCTGAAACTGATAAACGTTTTGCACAGTACCTTTCTTCTATTGGCGAAGAAGACAATACCATTTTCGCCTAAAGTCAAAAAAGAGCTTCCAGTTTTTGCTTGCTTGGTTTTGTTTGTGTTTTACGCGTTTTTCGAACAAACTCAGTCTCCTATTTGTTCTTTTTCTCTTTCTTCTATTATTTTATTTACTGGGTTTATTCGTTTTCTGGGGTTTTGGTTTTTGACGAGTTTGGACTTTTAATTAATTGTGATTTTAGCGATTGTGTTTGAGTTTTGGGTATAAGATATTGTAGTGGGTTTGTTTATGTTTTTTGGGAAATGAATGGGCAATGGAAATTCAGTCAGCGTAGCTTCTTGTTGGTTATTGTGCTGTTTTTGTGTTTGGTGCATCAGGAATTGTGTTTTTGTTGGTCTCTTAATGATGAGGGTATTAATCTTCTTCTATTTAAGACTTATTTTGTTAGAAATGACTATAAAAAAATTGTTATTTTTCTTAAAGTTTGAGTCTTTATTCCTGCAGGTTTGGCACTGTTAAGATTCAGGGAGAGAGTGGAGAGAGATCCATTTGGGGCTTTGCTGAATTGGAAAGATGGTGATGGAGTGGAAAATCCATGTACTTGGTTTGGAGTTGGGTGCTTTAATGGGAATGTTGTGTCTCTGTAAGTACTAAAAATTGCTCTTTTCTCTTCTTATTTGGTTCTGCAGAAGTCTTCTTTTTCAATTTTGATCTGGTTGGCTTATATAGATGAATCTAAATTTGGTCTCTGTTTGAATTCTGAAACTTTTGTTCCATGAGTTGGTGGTGATTCCAGTATGTGTCTGATCAAAAAACAGATAAATGAGAAGCTTTTGGCACCGATTCCTGTTGAAGATCTGTTCATGGAGTGTAGCTAATTTTGTTATTGTAAAGAGAGAGCTATTGTAAAATTTGATTTTCGTTACTCAATTGTTTGAGAGGCTAAGCACAATCTTATAATATGTTGTGATCAAAATAATTAAACATAGTCTCGAGAATGGATGTAAATAAGTTGATTTCTAAATTCAGAATGATGAAGCATCTGACCGTGCCTCTAATGGAAGGGAGATCTGGAAAACCCGTGCTCCTCTAGAAAGGGCAAACATGGAGTTAGATATAGTACCAAGATATAAATTTCATCAGAGATCAAATAAAAGGAGTCAAATTTTACACACTACCTTCGATGTCAACTTCCTCCAGTTTATTTATTTTTTTCAAATAAATGTAAACCAGATAATTAGAGCTACATGTATAACGTGATCTCTTTGTTTCTTGATCTGATACTTGATTCTATATTTCTATGAAGTAACCAGGAGTTGAATTTTGTAAAGGGTAATTATATCATAGCTAGCATATATCCGTCCCTAGCTAACTTTAAAAACACATTTTTACTGTATCCATTTTCATAAATGCAATAATTTTCGTACACAATTATCTCCATTTATTATCATGAATATAATTTTCAAGTCGGTGAGTAGCATAGTGTCTAAGTTGAATTTGCTATTGTAAAAATTATCTATGATACTGATGTTCTAACCTGTGTTTTTTTATCTACTCACAGAGACTTGAGAGATCTCCATCTATGTGGTACCATAGGTCCTGATCTCGCGCGCTTGGTTCACTTGAAGTTTATGTATGTGCACGTTTAAACTAGATGTCTTCATTTTCCTAGTCGCTGTTATTACAAACTCTATATTTAAGTCTTCTTCGTTTTATTAGTCGCTGTCATTACAAACTCTATATTTAAGTCTTTCTCTTTAAGATAATTGGCAACTCACTGGAGACTTCTTTACAGAATCTTACGTAACAATTCCTTTACTGGGTTCATACCTGATGAGATTGCAAAGCTAAAAGAATTGGAGATTCTGGACCTGGGATCTAATAACTTTAGCCAGCCGCTGCCTTCTGAGCTTTGCAATAATCCCTCTCTGGAAATTATGTGAGTTCAAACAGAGGTGGTGTCATTTTCTAATTTTACCTCCTTGTTCCCTTACTTACAGAGTTACACTAATGCAGCTTATCAGACAAAAATGAGCTGTTTAGCAGCATATTTCCTGGAAGCGATAAACTTGAAATGGTCCCAGATGTCCAAGAAAATAACAACCAAGCTACGAGACCCCAACCTTTGTCACTTCCCTATGGGAGAATGATATTAAGGTAAACATCTGTCAATCAAATGAAATGTATATTTTAAGAGCAATCGTATGTAGTGGTAACTTTAAAAGTCCAACATAGTAAGAGTAAAATGACTTGAATAATTCGATTCAGTTATTGGAATACATATTCCTAGAAAAAGTATGCATCTGTAGCAATTCATTGCTTGTTCTTTTGACACCCCTGATGCTTGCGAAGACGTTTAGAAGTCCCATCAATTTTCCCTGTCTTCAATTTGTCTTTTAGTTTTCTTATGGTTGGCCTTCACATTGAATATCTCTAGATGTGATTTTTAAGCACATTTTGGTTCATGTTTGCACAAACATTGTTCAATTCATTTTCTGATATTTCTGAAAAGACAAATTAACTACTAATCTTTTCTTTTCACCTTGTGATAATTCACCTCATTTTCAATCAAGCTTTGCACTAGCTTTTTTATGGCTATATACTTCTATGGTTGCAACTTGGGCAGTTATCATGAAATTTAAATTATTTGTAGGACTTCAGAAGCACTTGGAAATGTAGCTGGAAGAAAATTGCTAAGAGTATCATCTTTTTCTCTCCTGAATAACTTCCTGAACGAATTTCGGCCAGTCCGACTTCTAGACCGTCCTGAAGTTGCTGTTGAGAACAGTGCACCTTCATCATCCCCATCTCTATCACCAAGTCCTCTTTCACCATCTCCTACACCGGCAGTTACTGCAAAACCTCATGTGGTTCATTCACCAAGATCATCTCCTTCTCCATCTTCACTTCCCAGTCCTGCAGAGAACAGCAGTAGAGTTGAAAATGCCAGACGAAGTAATCATCGAGTTTTGATATTGTCTGCAGCTATAGGAGGTTCCGTTCTACTATTAATATTGATAGCTGGCACAATCGTCTTTCGAAGCAACAAAATGGCTGTTGTAAAGCCTTGGGCCACTGGATTGAGCGGACAGTTGCAGAGAGCATTTATTACTGGTAATTTTCTATCTTTCGATGAATGAATAGTATTTCTATTTGTAGAACCAAAATAGTTGTCTTAAAAATCAGATCCATAAAATAGAAGCTTATACGAACATATGTATCTGTAAAACCAAAATTTTGCCTTAAAAGTATTACCCAAATGGCAGAAGCTTAATGGACTTTTTTGCCCCCATTATGAGCTTGTTACAAGCTTTCTTTTCTAATTATTAATAATCTTTTCCCTTTTCCCTTTTTTCTTCTTGATATCTCTAAACTTTTGTTTATCAATATGAGCAAATAGTCTCAGATAGACAGCTGAGTTCTATCATTCTTACCGTGAACAGGTGTGCCAAAGCTTAAGAGATCAGAACTTGAGTCAGCCTGTGAAGATTTCAGCAATGTGATTGGTTCCTCATCTGTTTGCACACTATATAAGGGCACATTATCTAGTGGAGTTGAGATAGCTGTGATATCTCGGACAGTGGCATCTACTAAGGATTGGTCAAAAGATATGGAAACTCATTTCAGGAAAAAGGTGATTTAGTTTTTCCAATTGGAATTTTATCTCATTTTTTCAAATATGTGAGTTTCTAAATGCTTTTCTCCTACTTTTACCAGATTGATACATTGTCAAAGGTCAATCACAAGAACTTTGTCAGCCTTCTTGGGTTTTGTGAAGAAGAGGATCCATTTACCAGAATGATGGTTTTTGAGTATGCTCCTAACGGGACCCTCTTTGAACATCTGCACAGTAAGTTTCTGATTGAAAAGGTGTATCTGTTGTGATTTACTCAAATACTGTTACTCAACTCTTCTACATCTGCTTGGTTGAGCTCTCTAGGTGATAACTTTTATATAGCAGGTAAAAACATACCTGTGTTTGGTGTTTACAAACCGTATTTATTAACCATTTTTATATGATAAATTGACGTGACAATGTGTATTAGTTGAACTTTGGTTCAATGATAATAGTGGGTGTGAAAACACATCTTATGTATTCATTGGGTGGTGTAAACACTAGGTGTGATTAAGTGTTTTCTCTACCTCGAGTATGATATCTACAGACGTGTCCTTGGTCTCATGTCAATAATTTGAGAAGTAACCATTTCCACTTTAGGCTCATAAGATGTTTGACCATTGTACTTCAAGTTATCTCGCTTATTAACTCGAAGAGTAATTGATTCTGGACAGAATGTTCACGCACCTGTACCAGACATCCTTGGTATTCACTTTACATGCTCTTTCAACAATTTATGTTTAGCTTTCTCTGTGGTAAACAGCTATTATTATCTGCTCCTCGATTATGCCCGAAAAGATCCCTAATTCTAGTGTTTTGCAGTTAGGGAAGCTGAACACTTGGACTGGGGGATGCGAATGAGGATAACAATGGGCATGGCATACTGCCTTGAGCACATGCACAATTTATCGCCATCATTACCTCATAAAAACTTGACCTCCTCTGCCGTATACCTCACAGAAGACTCTGCAGCCAAAATATCAGATTTTGGGTTCTGGAATGAGACAGAAGCAGCTGAGATGGTTTCGAGTCCGGAAAGCAATGTTTACAACTTTGGTGTCGTTCTGTTTGAGATGATGACTGGTAGGCTCCCTTACTCATCAAACAGCAGTTCTCTTGACGACTGGGCGTCAGACTATCTTAGGGGAGGAGAATCCCTGAGAGAAATGGTTGATCCAACTTTAAATTCTTTCCAAGGAGAGCAGCTAGAGAGAATAGCTGTTGTGATTAAAATGTGTGTACATCCTGAACCAAGACGACGACCGACAATGAGAGAGGTTTCTTCCAGATTGAGAGAGATAACAGATATTGGACCAGATGGGGCAACCCCAAGACTCTCTCCTCTATGGTGGGCTGAGCTTGAGATTTTATCAACTGAGGCTTGTTAATATGCATAGGTACCTCAGATTTGCCTTTAGATGGTAATTAATATAGCGCCTGTATATACAAAGATTTTTCTTTTGTGTGGATAACAAGAGCATATCAACTGTAGGGGCTAAGGAGAAGTTTTTGTTTGTAATTTTATTTTTTTATTTTTTAGTGTGTAAGTAATATTTTAAATCGCCTTAATTTGCTCTCTTGGCGTATTGGGATCAATTCTATTGGCTTATGAAAACTATGACAAAAGGGACAAAACCTAAGGGGTCGTTTGGTTTTATGGCATTAACAAAAACAGTTTTATTGGTGGTACAAGAAAAAGTAATTTTCTCATAATTCATTACAATGTTTAGTTGGCTTTTCTTCCTGTCAAGGACGTGACTTTAAATAGGAGGATAGGGTAGAAGGTTCAGAGGCGGATTTACATGTTTAACCTTTTAAAAAAAAGCATATATATATAAAAGGAGAGATGTACCAGATATATTCATACCATATCATGTAAATTAATTGCAATTTTCCGGTCGAATGATTCTATTTGACCTAGTACTTTAGGACTTTGAGTGAAGCCTTCTTATTGTGTGATTTATTATTTTGTTGTTTATAGATACTAATTTTTATATTCTTAACAAAAAAAGGCCTAAAATACTTTACAAGTATTGAAAAGGGTACACAACTATGCTTCACCCACCTATTGACTCCAAAATATCCTCTCCATCTATCTATTGGCTCACAAATACCCTACCCGTCCATAATTTTAGCCACTTCATTGATGAAGCACTACTTAAAATAATTAACACTCAATCATTGGTTGCAATTTAATTATTTAATACAATTTTAAACCCAACCATTTTTAACTAAACCCGCTCCAACTTATTAATCACGCCCTAAAATATAATTTTAAATCAACACATTACCCGCTCAATCGAACCCCATGGATTCTTTTGTATTAGGTCGTACAGGTTTAAGAACTATAGTGTGACCATTATATTAATCTAAAATAGTCTGTAGTTTTATTTAAAGTAAAAATGCATATTAAGTACCCTTCAACCTATGCACGAAATTTCAGAGACACTTATCTATACTAAGAACCCTAAACTTATTTTATGAATAATTTTCTATCCCTTTTCGACTTACATAACACTAACTTAAAAAAAATATCAATACATGCTAAACCCACAAGATAGTGTTACTTTTTTCCCCGTTGAATCATATCCCGGATCTAGCTTGAAACATCAAGCGATTGAGCTCTACTATTTCATTCGATTTATTTTTGCTTCATTACTTTCTTATATATTAAGCTCATTTATCAATTAATTTAATTGTTAATACAGAAATCATTTGAGTTAAATCAATATACATGTCCTTGACCTAATAATGAATGACTAACATGACATTATGTTTAATTTATCTTAATTCAGAAATTTCATTCTATTTTTATTATTATATAAAGGTCAACCAGATTGATTCACATATTGATCAATTGAATATTAAACATTATTTCGTTTAACTTTTCCAATACTAATCACATATTTTGAAATCAATATTCAATCTGTGATAGCAACAGTACATTATTGGTATGACACTAGGATGCGATTAAGTATAATGATAATCCTGGCCCTTGTACTAAATTTTGAAGTGGTTTGCACGTAGAAGGATACATGTGGGCATAACTTGTGATGATGGTCATCACGTCTGGAAACAATTGAGGATCAATACTCACTCAACAACAAATGTGGTTTAGCAACATTCACGTTCTTGACAACAGTACCCATTCCAAAAACTATATAAAGGAACCTAACTCAAATGAACTTAACATCAAAGCAGAATCACATTCCAAAAAACTCACAATATCTTTTCAAGAAGATGGCAAGCAGCCAACTTGTCCTGATCGTTTCGTTGCTCCTTGCATTAGCTGTTCCACTGATAAATGCCTATGACAAAGTGCCAACTAAGTCAGTAGAGAAGACTGACAAAGTGGTGGTTGAAGGCATGGTCTATTGCCAGAGCTGTGATAACTATGGATCATGGTCTCTGTCAAAAGCTAAGCCCATTGCAGGAGCTAAAGTTAGTGTTATCTGCAAAAATTACATGAAAAGAGTCAGCTTCTACAAGGCATTTAAAACAGATGAAACTGGCTACTTATTTGCAGAGCTAGATGGCTTCAAAATGGGCCATTCTTATCTTGACCATCCTCTACATTCATGTCGCGTAAAATTGGTCGATTCTCCTCTCGAAAACTGTGATGTGTTCACTAATGTCAACTATGGAATCACCGGTGCTCGACTCCGATTTTTAGACAAGACATTGAAGCGAAGTAATTACGAGGCTGTAATTTATGCTGCAGGTCCCTTTGCTTTCCGACCAGATCACTGTCCTCCTAAGCCAGAATATTAATTGATTTCCATCATCTACTTTTACGTTTTTAACTTTCTACTGGTTTTATGCTTTCATAAGAGTATTGAGTATAAAATTTCCTTTTCTATGTAAGCCAATTGTGCAACATTCTTCACATTGCAAGCAACATTTTGCTCAATTCATAATTGACTCTCCTCTCTTTCTCTCTCTCTCTCTTATATATATATATATATATATAATTTTGTATTGTGAAATCTCAACCTTCGACATAAATATGGCCTAATTATCTGTGTCAGATCCATCTCACACGTCTCAAAATTACCAGCAGCTTTGTGAAGAATGTTGCACAAAGAGATTTTGAAAGATAAAAAGAATAAATCACCAGCTTGAAAGAAAAAATAAGAGTTTACCAGCATATTAGAAATCCAATGGCATCGCAAACATTTTATTTATCTCATCCATAGCCTCCTTTGTGCACACGGTTTTCTCAAACAAGTCATTATCCCTTTTTGACGACGAAGTTGGCAGGGAACTCTTAGGTTGATGGTGTGACTCATCATCTGGAAGTATCAAGAACCTACTGCCATCTCTCTCCATCTTAGGTGCTAATCCCTGTTTCTTTGGTTTGCTTTTCCTTGTAAACTCAATTGGCCTTCCAAACATGCTATTAATATCATCCATAGCCTCTTTCAAGTTAATTGTTGGTTCTACAAGGCCATGATGGCAAACATTTTCAACGGCTGATTCTTCTGAAATGGTGGAACCAACAAATTTGTATACAACTGTGTCCTCCCTACGGAGTCTTCCTTGAGGAGGCCTTTCAACATTTGGATCTCTAGAGTATTCTGAGGTAATATCAGTTGGACTAGGAAACACAAAACCCTTAACGATTCCACCTTCAATAGAACATCCAGTCAAATGAAGGTTACCCATATCTAATTTATTCACCTCATGTACTCCCTCCATCCCATCATTGGAGTCGTCATCATCAATATATATTTGAAATGGATCCTGCATGGGCTCTTGAGTCTCAACTCTTGTGCTTTGTGTCAGCGATGCACCATTTGTCATGGCTTGATCAGAAGATCCAACAGCAGAATCAGTGTTTTCGTCGACAAATACCTCAAAACCATTGTTTGATATCTGATCAACTTTTGGCTGATTTCTACGTGAATGCTTTCCAGCTAGAGATGGCTCTAATGGCTCTCGAAACATGCTATTAATTGCATGCATGGCCTCCTTTGTATTAATGGTAGGTTCCACCAGACCATGATGTCGTGCATCTTCGACATCAGACTTCCCAACAATGGCATTACCTACAAATTTAACTACAACTGTGTCTTCACCAATAAAATTTCGGCATCTATCTGTTTCTATAGTGTCTCCAACATAATTTTTTTGACTGAGATCACTCCAGAGTTCCTTCTGAAGGGCTGGACCACCATGAGTAGTTTCATTCACTTGTGACTCTCTCCTGGAGCCCTGTGAAATGGCAACTTCATTTTTCATATTTAAATGCTTGGATCGTGCATTGGGTAACTGATCCTCAGTGATGACAGGATTGTCTTCATTTCCACTTAAATTCTCATTGTTTTCCTTGATCTCATTGTTCTTCAAAGTAGTGTTTTTAGCACCAAGAGAACATATTTTATTTTTTCCTTCTTGGTGCTGCAGAACATATCCCTATTATCAGTTAATGGCTCATATAAACAAAAGGAAGACATTTGGTAGACAATATGGCCATTGTAACCAACCTGTATCCTCTTATTCTTACGCTGCTCCATGCGATGAAGGAACTGCTCATATGATGTATGTAACTCATCAAGTGGCTCGGCAAGCCTGTTCATTGAAGAATGAAACAGAAATCTGTAAGAAACGTTTGAAAGCACTTGTTTCCAGAACTATCATTCATGCGTTTAGTGGAAAAAACATAACCAACATAAACCAATTTTCACTATTCAAGTAATTAAGCAAGGGGAAAGGGGCTGTCACCTAGTTAACTTGTTGCAATCAGATAATGATTAAAAGAAGGATCCATAATTCACCAGGATCAAAAGATTAGATCATTTGTTAGGACTCTGATAACAGGCCACTATTAAAAAGGAATAACAGAAAGGAAATCCATACAGATAGGAAGGGAAGCCTTACAAATATCCCCAAGTCATGGAGGGAAAAGAAGTAAGAAAAAACATTGGGCACCAGATGACACTTCTCTTCTAAATAGCTCTATGGAACAATGCTGATTTTGAATTTGAAAACATATTTTAAAAATACACAATGTAGCAAATTTGCCAAGAAAGTTCAGACAATTTCTCCGAAGCAAGTAAAGTGAATCAGCTTAAATTACCAAAACTAATGGTGCAAAGATATGCACCTGCTCTAATACTGCTTGATCACATCCTGAAATTGGCCGTAGGAAAGAAACTGCTACCAGAGAATAATATGGCTTGAGATACCCCTTTAAAAAGGAGCAGCCCGGTTGACAAAGCTGTGGTAGCATGGTACAGGGTAGGGACGCACCGCAAGGAGTGTGATGTAGACAACATATCCTAATGCAAGCATTAGTGACTACTTCTACGACTCGAACTCATGACCTATAAGTTAAAGAAAGACAACTTCACCATTTCTCCAAGGCTCCACCTTTCTCTCAATATACCCCTAAACAAATGTAAATCAATGAATAATCTTTTTCATTGAAATGCAACAACAATTTGCAATGCCGATTGAACAGAATGTAAAATTATCAACACACAGCATTTGTCAACAACTCTTTCACCACATTTCTATAATTATTTTTTTAAGAAAGATTTGGATGGAAAAAGAATGTTAAATAAGGTACTCTTAGAATCAATAACTCAATAAATTTAAAATCACAACTAGCTATAAGTTACTTACTTCTGTACACCCAATTGGTACATCTTCTCGGCAGCCTCAAACTTTTTAATCTTTTCATAATAAAGAGCATATGCTTGGTAAAACAGAGACTTTTTCATCCCTATACGATTCAACTCCATCGTTTTAAGTACCGATTTTGGGTCATGCACATAGTCCATCTACATAAACAAAAAAAATAAATGAAAATTTGAGTATAGTTAATGACTCAAAATGTAAAGCAAATCAATGAAATTGTTCATTTCTTTAAATTACTAACATTTTTCTTCAAATAAATTCAGAAAAGAAAAAAAAAATTGAAAAAAGAAAGTTACCAGTTGTAACCAGACTCGAAGATAACGCATATCATTAGCATAACGGCGATCGGTCCCAAAAGTCTGTGCACATTTCTGAAGAAATCTTGGGAGTTTCTCCTTAAGCAGCTGCGGAGGAAGTGACTCTTTCATCTTCTTAATTCCTCTTATGAAATCAAACCAAAATGAGAAGTTAGAAAAATGGATTCAAAAGAATTTGGAGTTTTTTCAGAAAGGGTACTTACCGGAGCCAAGGGAGAAGAGGGTCTTTGCCGTTGTAGGATTTGATGTCGGAAATCAGAGAAGAGAAGAGTTCATTGTACATTACAGACATTGGAGAGCAAAGATTGGTATTCAACACACACCCTAATTTGAATTTTAGGAGACCGCTTTCATGTGCTGTTATATTTCACTTTGCCCCCAAAACTTCTAAATATTACACTATTTCCCAATTTTACATTTTCCAAAAAAAAAAGAGAAGGGAAATAGTGTTTGGATATATAAATTGGCAAAGAAGTTTTTGCAAATCAGAAATATTACTCAAAAAAACAACAAGCGACCTGATAGAGGTATCATTATTTTTAAGTGTTAGAATTTATATTTCAGTGCTCGTTCTCGTAAAATCTATTCCTAAGCTATAAAGGGTATAGATTAGTGTCAAATTCGTGATTATTATTTCAAAGTTTAGCTATAATTGACTATGTTGGGATCGTAAAATCTATATCAGCTAGAGTTAATTGGTGAAGTGGAAAGAAATGGTGTTGCTAAGTCGTCTCATTAGGTAACAAAGTTGTTACTGTAAGGGGGAAGGAATTAATAATTCCTAGATTACTTGGTCGCAATTAAAATCTTTGCTCTGTTTTGAGTGAAATAGAATTGAGTTGAAATTTTTTAAATACAAATCTTATGTGTCTGATTTATGTTAAGTTATTTATTTTCCACTTTAATTCCATCATGATAGACACATACATTTTATAATTAACGGTTAATTAAGATATATTTCACTGATTAGCACACATATATATTTTTAAATCTGCGAGTTATAATGCATGTAAGCGCAGACATATATTTTTGAGGCAAAAGAAAAAATCCATATTTAACATTGGGTTGGACATTCGATAAGTCGGTTGAATTTTAATTATTTTGATTAATGTATATGTACAGCAAACACCGAATCAAAATAATTTAATTTGGTTTAATTTTTATTATTTCGATTCAGTTTATATTATTTCCTCAGTTTGATTTATTTTACACGAGTGTAGTCAATCGTGAATAAGCATCACTAACAAAACGGAGGTTGTTGTCAACGGAAAGAGAGTTGGCTTCCGATCTTCTTCTCTACCTGTTGTTCTAAGATGCCGCACTACCTGATGGAGTGCTGCTCTAATGGTAGGCTGGCGGCGGCTGCTGGTCGGTTGGAGGCTTCTGCTGATTGGCTGGCGGCTTCTGCTGGTTGGCTGCTAGTCAGCCGGTCGTTGGTCGATGCGATGACGCCGGAAGTGGAAGTGGGAAAGCGGGTCACTGAAAGCTGCGCCGAAGAAGAATGAAATTCAAGTTAAAAGAGAAGTGTGGGTTATTCAATGACCTAATTCAATTGTGCGTATACTGATATTTATTATTTAATAATTAATATTAATAATTCATATAATATTAATATATATTATGATTATAATATTATATATTTCAGTAAACTGAAATACCGAATAATACAAAAGTAACATAACGAGAATCGAATCAAAATATCAAAAAATTATAAATTTATATAAAAATACTGAAACTGAAATACAAAAAATAATTAGTTCGATTCGATATTTTGATTTTGCAGTATTTATGTCCAACCATGAATTGGATGCATTTTGAACCTTTTTTAACCAGGTATTAAATTGGGTATAAGACATGGGCTTTGAGTTAAATGGTTATGATGTATATTAGTTATTAAATTGATTTTTATTAAAAAAATGAGAACATTTCGCGGATAAATAAATATATATTATTTAATTAGTTAATATAGTTACATCTTAAATCAATTATGGCTTGCATCTTAATTTTAGATGTAATTACAAGTCCTCTTTATACATATATATATATGTACACAAAAAAAAATTATATGACATATATATAAATATAATTAACATCCCTCCACTATATGCCCTCTCTCTCAATTTCGCTCTCCTCTCTCCCTCTCTCTCTCTTAATCTCGCTCTCCAGATATACAAATACATGATATATATACACACAGACACATATACAATTTGTCTCTTTCCACTCCTGCCTCTCTCACTTGCCTCTCCCCCCCCCCCCCCCTTCTTAATCTCACTCGGCTCTCTTCTTCCTCTTCCATTCTCGCTCATCATATAGACAATGCATATGTATACTAGTTTCATATATACAATTATTTGATAGATATACATATACATATACATATAAAATTCGACTGATATACATATACAATTCGTCTCTCTCCACTCTCTGCCCTCTCTCGCTCCCCTCTATCCTCCCTCTCTCAATCTCTCTCTCCTCTCTCTCCCCTCGAACATGCAACTACTATTCGTAATTAACAAACTATAGCTATGGAGAATAATTAAGTTATTTTTGATTGACTATATGTTATAATTCCCCTTAAAAATAATAGTGTTATAATGTGTTGTGTCATGTTAAAAGGAGTGAATGGAGTTTTTATCGCTCTTAGTAATTTTTTATGAACATAATAACAGTTAGATGATTCTATGAATAGAAAATAAACAAATTAAAACTATAAAGAGCTCACCCTTCGAATTAAACCGAATAATTAAATCAAATTTTTATTTGGATTAGTTTTTTGATTGGTTTTGGATTAACAAATTGCTTTTTTTGATCTTTTGGTTTGGTTTCAGGTTTTAAAAAATAAAAATCGAAAAACCTATATATATATATATATATATAATGTGTAAGTTAGAATTAAGTTCGAGTTCACCACTTTTGTCCCTTTTTGGTTATTGCCTTTCATGATGATTGTATTTATATTTATGTTCGAATTACATCTATAATAGTTATACTGGTAGATATTATGTTTTAAGTTTTACTTATGATTTAAATTAGAAAGTATATTTAAGGGATTAAATATTATTACTTCGATTATGTTATTAATTAGGGAAAATACCCAAGTACCCCCTCAACCTATGCCCGAAATCCCAGAGACACACTTATACTATACTAAGGTCCTATTACCCCCCTGAACTTATTTTATATGTAATTTTCTACCCCTTTTTAACCTACGTGGCACTAGTTCAAAAAAAAAAGTCAACCATCATTGGGCCCACAAGATAGTGTCACGTAAGCTAAAAAGGGGTAAAAAATTATCAATAAAATAAGTCCAGGGGGGTAATAGGACCTTAGTATAGTATAAGTATGTCTCTGAGATTTCGGGCATAGGTTGAGGGGGTACTTGGGCATTATCCCTATTAATTATTAACATAATTGAATAACCAAACCGAAAAAATCGATCCGAATAGAGGAAAACCGAACCAAACCAACATTGATGTATGATTCTAGGTTTAAGGTTAACAAAGCACCCTCGACGACCATGGTGTGAATTTCTTTTCCTAATCTTTTCTCAACCTTATTTGTCAAAGAATGTTTATTCTCATTAGCATATGTTGTGGGCGAATCAATACAACTAGATCAAGCCACTATAAAAAAGATTAGACCTAGTTGTGCTCGTGTGAAAGTGATAGTTGATCTAAAAAGAGAGTTCCCTAAGTATGTGCAATTAAAGATAGAGAGCGAAACTACATGGGAAGTGAGGTCAACAATCCTATAAATGAGAATAATACAACTCACAAAACTATGGGTGAAGGAGAAATAAGTATGTCAACAAAGGAATGGGTTGCACAATCTTTTAGCCAAACATTGCAAGCAAAAGCCACATCAACAAATGTTCCTGAGCACCATAAAAGTACAATAGTAAGACAAAAATATGAAAATAAAGTAGGTGAAAGTAGTATAAGATGTGCAAAGAGTACTGATAAAGACGGAAACAACAATATAACATGTTAGACAATGAGAAGTCTAATTACATTACTCCTAGTCTAGTCATCACAATGGTCATGTTGAAGGACGAGAAGTTGTTAGCAGCAAGCCAATTCAAATTACATAAAGTGTAGAGGTCACACAAATCCCACAAATGAATGATTGTGAGTAATACAAGGCATCAATATTACTACCTAATGCAGTACAGAGAGATGAATACCAAATGTTGTGCCTACAAAGAACTTCCCCTAATAATGTATTGCATTAGATTATTTCTCATAATGTGGAGAGAAGACATGGCAAAAATTCCTGAACAAAATGATGAAGCAGTTGTGGAAAGAACTGAAGATGCTATAAAACACATAGACAATCATCTTGCATATGCGGATGAAACTATTATTTTTGCCTCTACCGACAAATATTCTCTAAACAAGATAGTAGCGACTTTGCAGAAGTATGAAGCTCAATCTGGCCAAAAAGTTAAGAAAGAGAAAAGTTTTCTTTATGCAACAAAGTGCTACAACAAACTTGAGAAGGATAGTAAAGGAATGCGCATATATTCCTAGGATTCAATTCCCCTTAAAATACTTAGGTTTCCCTATTATGCATTCAAGGAAAAGAAAAAGGCATTATGTAAATATCATTAGAAAGGTAAGGGACAATCTACAAGCCTGTAAAGTTAACATGCTATCATTTGGTGGAAATAAAGTTTTAATTTCTATTGTTTTACAAAGTATTCCTAGTCATACTTTATCTGCTATTCTCCTTCTAATTGTGTTTTAAAAGAACTACATCGAATATGTGCAAAAATGTTTTGGAGTAACAACAGTACATGTAAGAGTAAACACTGGGTTGCTTGGGATAATGTTTGCTTACTAAAATGATTGAAGGAGGTTTGGATTTTAGATCAACGATTGATGTTTCTTAAGCTATGTTTGCTAAATTTTTGTGAAACTTTAGAACTCAAAGGTCCATTTGAAAAAACTTTATGTGGAGTAAGTATTGCAAGAGACAAATTCCTGTATTTATTCAGTGGAAAGGCAGTTCACAAGTGTGGAAACATATGTTAGAGAATAGAGAGACTATTGAACAAAACTCGTGGTGAGAACCAAAGGAAGGTACTGCTAGTATTTGGTTTGATAACTGAATCAATCTAGGTCCTCTATATCTCCAGCCTTCTGAATTTCAAGGGTGTTATTTTAGAAGGATATTAAGGTTTTTTTTGACAGAGGATTGTTGAGACTTTAATATTATGCAGGATCACTTTCCTAATAACATTATTGAGCAGGTTAGACTTAATATGGGTTACATTAGGTATTCTGAAAAAGTAGATAAACCTTGGTGGACTAAGTCTAGTAGTGGAAAATTCACTGTCAGATCTTGTTAGGATATCCTTAGAAGTAGATCTATCTCCAATAATGACTTTAAGAAGTTTTGGGTGGACTCCCTTTTAAAATCTCTTATTTTGGATGGAGGGTATGGACACAAAGATTTCTTGTTGTTGCTTTTATATCTTTATAGGATCCTTCCTATTTTGGTTTATATCTTTGTTGTAGAGCTCTTGTGAGGATAACAATAGAACATTTATTATTATCAAGAGAATTTGCTTCTTCTATTTATGATTATTATGCTAGATTTGCTGGATTTCAAGTCCTTGGGTACAGGTGAAACAGACTACGAAGAAATCGTAAGATTTCCAATGTAATAGTAGAGTAAATATGGTGGGTGTATCAAGCAATGCCTAATATTATTCTTTGATTTCTATGGAAGAGGAGGAACACAATTTTACATAGAGGGCAATATTCTAGTAACAATGTTATTTGGAATATAAATTCTACTATTCACTAGTTTATTAGGTTAAATTTCATCTTATTAGCTTTTCCTAATAATTGGACTCAAATGGTATTTCAACTTAAAAAGTACAGACCTATTTTTCAGAGTAAAGCTGTGAGGTAGAGTCCTCCTCCTATAGGGTGGATCAAATGTAATAGAGATGGTGCGCAAAGAGAAAATCGGTCCTAGTCCTATTGCTTTTTGCATGAGGAATCACGATGGCAATCTAATGGGAGCCAAAGGTTAACAAATTGTTGATACATCTAATTTAGTGGCTGAGGCTAAGACTATTTGTGAAGGGCTTTAATACTGCTTAGGTAAAATGTTCTCCAACATCATCATGAAAACAAATTCATTGCTTCAATACTACTTAGATAAAAGGTCTCCAACATCATTGTGGAAACAAATTCACTGTCTATGGTGAAAATTATTAATGGAATCGGGGATTTCCTTGGAGTGTCTCGATGGAAGTCAATGCTATAAAAAGGAGCATAAGTATCATGATAGTGAGAGTACAACATTCCTTAAGGGAGGGAAATAATCTTGCTGATTTTTTTGCTCACCTAGTTTTCAAGTTTTGCAGGTAAATATGAACTCAATTCATTTCAAGAAGTTCCAACTATAAGAAAGAAAATCATTAATCTTATTAAATGCAGTACTCCTATCATGAGAATTAAACAAATGAACCATTCAAATTGTTCCAGTTAAGAGATAGAAGATTCATCATCAATTGTACAAATTATGTTATTCAGTTACAAGTAAGGATACAAAGAAAATGATTGAATTGATATCTAGTTAAGTTTGATGAAATTTGATTGGTTGATACTACCTTACTCTGGTGATAGCTTTGAGGTGTTTATTTTGCACTACACCAGGAGTTAAAAGCATAATTCATAACTCTCAACTAAGCGGAACTTGGCTCAACTCAATCACAAGTCTTTTCCAAGCATTATAGATTTGAAATCGTAGTCCAGTTGAATATCTAGATTTGTATGGTAGTATTAATTCCTATATATTGAAGGATTCATTCCATCGAAGAATAAATAATGAGATGGATAATTATTTCAAAATGGTGTTAATATACGTGATATCAACACTTCAACTGAGGTAGCTCTCTTCAACATTAGATTGTTAGATTTTATTACCTCCGATTTGGGATCGTGTCCCTGACAACTAACTGGACCTTCCAAACCATAGATGATGAATATAAACACATGTTATAGAAGAGAAGTGAAGATGAGAGTATTATCATTAAATTAATGGTGAATAAAGTTTGAATTACTACTCAAAGTGGTAGAGATTTACATGTAATAGCAGATCAAATCAACTCTAATGCTTGAGGTCCAAATCGTCCAAGATATGTTAACACACAGCGGCATATTCAGGATTTT